TTTAGTGTGAGGAATGGAAAAAACGAGCTACAAACATATTAACGCTAAACATTCGGTAGAATTTATAGAATAATGTAAATATATATATATGTGTGTGTGCGTGTGTGTGTGTGGTGTGTATGTGTGTGGCGTGTATGTGTGTGTATGTATGAGGTTTGTATATATGTGGGCCTGGTGTGAATGTTTGAGGTGTTTTCCGTTAATTTTTTTTTTTCGTTACCATTTTATACTATTGCCTTGCATGCTGTAACAGTTTCTGCGTCTGTCAGATGTGTGTGTGTATTTGTGTGTATTTGTGTTTGTATTATTATAAATGCAACCAGCTTAATTCAGAGAAAGTGTTCTCAAGAAAAATGTTTAAATCTTACGACGGGGATCATCCGTCCAAACATATTCGTCTTTCTGTTGTATGTATGTGTTTTGTGTATTTTCTTATTGGTACCGACCCGAGTACAAATGTTTTATGTGTATTTTGGGTATTCTTATTATTGTATACATGTATGTTTGTTGTATGTTTATGTTTGTGTCATGTTTGTTTGTTTATAGATTTCGTGTTTGATAGAATCTAGTATGACTTATGATCTTATGTTGTGTTTCATTGTTTAGTTTGTTCGTGTTTATGTTTATTCATGTTTGCGTGACGTTTGTTTGTTTTTGTGTTTATGTTATTTTGTTTTTAGTTTATGTTTAATTAAAGCTGTTGTTGTTTTTGATGTTGATTTGGTTTCCCGATATAATTTGTTGATCTATTCAATGCATTTCATTTGTTTGTCGTTGTTTATGCGGTTGTTAGTTTGTTTGTATTTTGTCGTGATGTAGTTGTTGTAGTTGTGGTTGCAAATTTGTTTTATTTTGTTTCGTTGGTGTTGGTGTTGTTTCTGGAAGATTAGAATGAATTGTTATGAATGAACATGCACATGTTTGCTTGCATGTTTGTGTCAGTGTAAATGTACCAGAGTTCCCCCACAGGCATTCATCATGTTTGCACAATGTAAAAAAATCTTTGTGGCAGTTTGCATGTGTATTCGTCTGTGTGTATGTGTGTGTGCGCGCGTGCGTGTGCGTGTGTACTATTCACATTTGTTCATGATTTGTTGGTTATTTGATGTAAGATTAGTTTGTGTGTTTTGAACATGAACCCAGTTTGAACCGGAGCAATAAATGTGCCGAATTTTTTGGTTATTGATGTTGGTGCATTTTTTCGCGTCGTTGTTTTGTTGCTGTTGTGTGGTTTGTTGTTGTTGTGTGTCATGTCATTTGTTGTTGTTGTTGTCCTGCAGTTTTTTGTTGTGTGATTTGTTGTAATTCATTGTATGCTTTATACTGTATTTCATCTGTTATATAGAAAAAAAAATCACATCATAGCACACATCATCCTCTTTATCACCAACACCATCATCATTAACATCCTCACCATCATCAACATCATCATCATAATCATCATCGTCATCATCGACTTCAACAGTCAACAATGCATAGATAGCTAATCGGACCACATGCGATGAAATAATTAACTTGCCAACAATTACCTTATCATCACAGATGATGACCAAGATGATGATGATGGTGGTAACGATGGTGTTCTTTTTTGGTAACGACGATTAAGGTGATGATGATGAGAAGGAAAATGATGAAGTTGATCATCAGTATTATAAAGATATATAGTGATGATCGTTAGAAGGTGATGACAAAGATGACGACGGATATAATGCTGTCCAGTAATTTATTATTTTTAACATACTAGTTTTAATTTATTAGTTTTAATTTATTAGTTTTAATTTTCAATTTAGTTTGTTAGAAGAAGATGATGGGAATTAGGACGAGAACGATGATGATGATTCTGTTGTTTATGATGATGGTATATGATGATGATGATGACAGTGACGATGATGATGTAATGACGATGATGGTGATGATGTTGTTGATGATGACGATGACGATAATGATGATGATGGGAATGTAGATGATGATGATGATGATAACGACCATTGTGAAGGTGTTGGGAAGAATTAATTAGTTAAAAAATTAGTGTACTTGAACATCATTATTATTAGTAATTAACATTTTTGTAACAAGCAGACAAAATTTATGGTTACGAAAACACATTTAGATACGCACACACACACAAACACACACATACATATATATATATATATATATATATATATATATGCACATGTATATATGGTACATATGTTGTTTATTAATATAATTACATGTAGGAGCGTAATTTATTTAATGAGCATTTTAAGTTTGAAGCCATCAATAAAACTGGATACGTTTACATCATCTGCATAACATGAATATGAATATTTATGTATGTGTGTGCGTGTGCGTGTGTGTGTGTGCTTGTAATTATTTAGGCATATGTGTGTTGTGAGAGTATGTTCGCAGGCGTTAGTACGTGTGCATGTGCATACATGTTAAAGGTACGTTGTTAGCGTACTTATGTATGTGTGTCTTTCCGTGTGTCTGCTTGTCTGTCTTTCTGTCTATCGGTCTAATTAACTGTCTGACTGTCTATCTGTATATGTAAGAATTTAAGAGTAGGACCCAAGCAACGGTGAAATAAAAAAAAATAAGTTGTTGAAGGACCGCATACAAAAATCCTACATTGAAAACAAAGATGGGTGATAAAAATCTTAAATACAATGTTCCTTCCAGCCAACACATCTCCGAAACATGTGTGCGTGTTTATACGTGTGTGTGTGTGTGTGCATGTGTGCGTGTCAGGGTAAATTTTAAACTTACGCAAAAATGGTTTGTTACACTTTTATCACTGTCACAGATTTTGAAGCCTGTTATATTTTTCACTATTTTTCATTAATATTGTTTAACATTTTCCAAAAAATCACTTTTTTGCACACACACACACACACACACACACACCTACACAAACACACGTACACACATACACAGGAAATTGTTACACCAAATTTGCGTTGCAACATTCATGTATACTGTACTTTAATTAATTACGTGTACAACAAAAACATCTCTTTGGTAATCTTCATCAGTGACTTCCTAATTAATTTTTACAAAAAAAAACAATCATCAAACTATTTTCCATAATTTTTCATAATTTTTGTTTTTGTTTCTTTATTAATCTTTCCTTTAGGCGCATGCGTGGAAAGGTGCAAATAAACCATGACATGCAATGGAACACTGCGAACTCTCTGTACTTCGTCGTACGTGTGTTTGTACTTTGCACAACTACTTTGTGCTTGTAGTTGTACAACTATTTTGTATGTGTAGTTGTACAACCATTTAGTTAGCACGTGCGTATGCAGTTGTTTGTTTTCTGTGTGATCTTGCACGTGATGTGGTGTTTTCAGCGTATTTTGTAATGTTTGTAACGTATTTTAATGTCTGTAGCAACGACGATTTTTTTACATTTTGGGCAATTGTAAGTGTCGTTGTGCTTGCACACGTGTTTTAAGAGGTCAATGATTGTTGCTGACTTGCTGTAATATTTGTTATAACAGACGTTTTAATGTATGTGCTTAATTTGTTGTAGTACATGTCTTAATGCATATCTATAGCAACAACATGCATGTTACAACATGTTGTGTACGTAGATACATTCATACACGTAATGTGTATACGTATATGCGTGTATATAAACATACATTTATATACAAAACACTAAGTATTTGCAGTAGATTGTGGTATGTATTGATAATTGAGTGCGTAGGAGCGCGTTACGACAATCTGCACTTGAAATTGCTTCGTGCATCTTCCTACATGCACTTGTAGTATTTGTATTGTAGGTAAAAATTCTGCGTACAGTAAAAAATTACAATCAATAACAAGGCGCAAAACATCTTAATTTTGTAACACAAAGAAAAATGAGTGCTGCGAACTGAAGAAACTTCTTCACGCACACACACACACACGCACACGCGCGCACTTACAAACATTCACATTTGCGTTAGTTTCTATTAGTGTTGGTTTATACACACACGTACACGGGAATGAATATACAGTTAGACTGAGATCTATCTAGCTAATGCGCATACATGAATTAGCGAGTCTCAATTCAATTCAAACTACAATAGACGTACTAAAACCGAAAATTGAATAAAAAAGTAAAAAAAGAGAATGATAGAAAGTGAATTATATAAGAAATAAAATGAGAAGGAAAGAGAGAGAGAGAAAGGAAGAGAGAGGGAGAGAGAGGGAGAGAAACGTGTAAATGATAAGAAATGCTTTGTGTTGATGAGGACAGTTTTTAGAACGCTGTAAAATCTTCTAACTAGCCTTTCATGGACGTTTTATTGCCGGTTTTCTTTGTTCGTTTATATGTACCTGCGTTTGTTTATATGTTTGTATGTATGTTTGTTTGTTTGATTGTATACATTTTTGTATGTTTGTTTGTGTGTTTGTTTTTATGTTTTTTATATGTTTGTTTGTATGCATGATTGTATGTTTGTTTCGTTTTTTATTTGTTTGTGCTTGTGTACCCAGCATTGTTTAGTTTTACGAATGTATAAGATGTGTTGTATTTGACTGAATGTTTGTTAATAGTTTGACCTATTTTCGCAACCATCCTCACTCACTTTTGTTAGATTTTTTGTGTTTCGAGAAGTTTTTTTGCGCAATTTGACTTTGTCAATTTTATTGTAATTTTCATTCAATGCTTTCATTCATTGCGAATGGTAATAAAATCGCGCATTTTATAATTAAAAAAGAAATTATTTTACAATTTTACAATTTTCTTCAAATAAAAATTAGTTTTAGTATTTCGAAGAGTCAGAACAAAAAAGTTACAAATTTGAGAATTGCACCTATATAAATTAGAAATTAGCACCTTTGCACGCATATGTTCTAACTCCCTCTTACGCACACACACACACAAACACAGACACACGTAAAGACATACGTACGTACTCGCACACAAATGTACTCACACACACATACACACACATTTAGATAAAAGTTTACATACCCATTCACACACACATGAACACACACAAACGCACACACGCACGTGTCTGCACGTTCATTTGGTCACACATACGCACTGAGTCAGTATAGTGTGGTACGTGCATTTAATTATGAACGTTTGTATCAATCATCTCTATCTATCTATCTTTAGTTCGTTCGTTCATTTGTTCGTTCGTTCTCTCATTCTTTTGAATTCTGTCTCTGTCACGTGATTTGTTTTGTCGATGGTGAAGAGGATGATGATGGCAGAATTGATGCTGATGATGATGATGATGATAATAAAATTGTGATTACTATGATAATATGGTGAATCGACAAGTTTAAAAAAATACTTGAAATGGTTGGTTGTTAGATAATATTTTACGGTGATTTTTCAGGTATTTCATAATTTATAGTACATATATGGACTTAGCCAGATTTTACCTGTCAGATACACATGCATGTTTGTATAATCACGTACGCCATCATACTCAACCCAAAACACACACATATACACACACATATACAGACACACACATGCATGCATGGATGTGCACAAAGAAGCTGAATAGGAGTATACAGAGGAGAGTTTTGTGATTTTTAAGTGCATAGCTAATTATATTTTTGCTCTTCCACATCTCCTTATGTTGCATTTCATCATCATTCATCATCTTCTTCTTCCTCCTCGTCATTCATCATCATCGTCGTCTTTGTACTCATAATCGTCTTCTTCATCATTATTCATCATCACTGTCGTCTTCCTACTCATCATCATCATCTTTTATCATTTTTATTGTTATTATTATTGATATTATTGTCATCATACTCTTTTTTTCATCATTCTCATCATCATTATGTTTATTTATAAATTTTTTAATTCATCATTCTGTCATCATTAGCGTTGTCGTTGTTGAATTTTTCTAATTTTATTCATTACTTTTGCCTTATTGACGTTATCATAAATATTTTTGTGATAGTATATCTCCACACATCATCATGAGTATTTTCATCATCGTTGTTATCATCATTTTTAATAATGATATCATCAAATTTTTTTTTAGATTTTTACGAAATATCACTTTTTTCATGTCACCACACCACACCATACTATTTTATTACACCACAGCAGTAGCATCACCACTGCATTACATAACCATCATTTGCACTTAAAAAAACAGCAGCGAAACGATAATGACGTCATTGTTGTCAGCGTAGCGTCATCATCTTTGCCATCGTTATCAGTTTGGACGTTATCATCCTTTTGAAGGAAAACTGTTTTGAACTCGAGTGCAAATATGGAACGATTAAAGAGCGTCTAATGATTTA